TACATGTACTCTATAAACCTGGAACTGAAAACTACTCCAGACATTTTGAATAAAGAAAGCCTCCTGGATGGGAAGTGAAACGTCTTCAAACTTGGAAAACAAAGTCCAGTGGTAAAGTTGTTTTCTCATAGAGCAAGAATGAGAACAGAGGTGCAAGATGGCTACCAGGATTGGAGGCACAGAAACTTGCAAGTGAGGTTTTCTAACAAGAGCCTTTGGTTGAGGTGAGAGAAGTCTCAATATTCTTATAAACACTCTGACTACCATTACAGAGTTAAAATGTCAAAGTTGAATAGTGTAGACCAGAAATATTGCATTAGAGGCTGCAGATTATAGATGCCAACATGATCTCAGCTGTAATCATGTTGCAATAAGCCCATAGAGCACCTCAACTTAGTCTTATAAGATTCTACAATATACTGTACTTTTACATTCAAAGGTGTTTTTTTTGTCCATTTAATTTGAGTGCAAGGTTAAGTAATTTCTTTCTACACGCATTTGTAATTCAATAGATCCAAATTAGCNTACCGCCCATTAAGGAAGTGGAGCAAAAAGTAAAGCTGATAAATGCATAAATTCAGAAAGCAGTGGCGGTTCTAGACCAAATTCACAAAATAAGTATGAGAAAAACATAACAGGGAAATAGTTCACGGTTTATTAAAAAAGGTGAGTCTAAAAACCAAAGTCTCTCTCACGACACTGCAGCTGAAGGTTGCAGATCGCTGCAGATGAATGAAACCGAAAGGACAACACCTTCCTCTTTGAATGACTGTTAAAATAACAGTTAAAAAACAAACTGATTTAAGAATAATCAGGAATGGTTTATCATAAGATAGATTTTTTATTACTAAAACAGGGGCCAAACCAGGGGCCAGGCCCACCTTACCAAACTTAACTACAGATAGGCCGACTTATCCTCTCCACATTTGCATAGCTGCGCTTGTTCTCCATGAACACTGATCAAAGCACTTTGAGAAATGATGGGGAAAATGACTGAAGAAACACTGGCATTATGTCCAGTTCCTTTTTTTACGAGTAGATGCTACAGAACCTGTTTGTCTTTAATGACTTCACATTTTGATGCTTTACACTACATTTGAAGCTCACAAATATTAGATATTAGATGAATTATACTGAACTCAAAATGTTGTCTTGATTTGTAATCTTTTTTTCTGTATACATATTTGTGTAAAGTGGTTTTGTTGGAAAAGAAAACGGGAATGGCAGGGTTTAAACAGTTATAACAGTTATAGACGGAAGAAACGGAAAGAGGACTCCCACAGATTTGTAATCTTGCAGAACCCAAGCAGTCGTAATGAAACAGAAAAAGAACTTTTGTGGTAAGTCCAAACTGTAATTATGTGAGCTTTTTGGATCGGATTCCTTTGCTCCTTTCTCTCCCTCATCTCTGTTTGCATTCATGCTGCTTTGACTAAGCTTAAGCAATAACAACAAAGAAAGTTTGAAATGGCAGCACTTATCGAACAAAAACAATCCAATTAGAAGATTTTGGCACATTTTAGGTTATATTTTCATAAAAATATATTAAACATCATAGAAATTATGTACGGAAACAACAGTGCTCAGACATCCCTCATTTTTGTGGCTTCAAAGGGTTTGAAATGAAACAGGTCTCAGTCGCCTTCTATTTAATTCAACATGTAATGAATTAAGTAACAAAGGACAAACAATGAAAAGATTAAGACACATCTTCACTGGGCAGACCTGAATTTTCAAAAAAAAAAAAAAGACATAAAATCTAAAGAATAAAGCCTTTTCATTAAAATAAACCACTGTAGATAATTGCATACAAATTAAAGAATATCCTTTTCTATTAAAAAAGAAAAACTTAGAACATTCGGTAGTAACTGGTTGAATTTAGAACATCCATTAAAGAAAAATATGTGTATACATGTGTGATTTTGTAATGAAAAGCAGATTGAAGCTCTGATGGACCTTTAAAATATACTTTTCTATTCTAAAGTATAGAGTCACTAAAAGGAAAAAAAAACTATAAAGTTTAATGAGCACATTGAGAGGGACGCAAACGTATGCAGATTCAGATGTAGAAAAATAAATGTGACCCATCTTATGGTGGTTTTTAAAGCAGCAGCTGCAATGTAGGTTTTAAAATGTGGTCTATCCTTTGCAAAGAGGTTTGCTCTGCACCACGCATATAACATGTTGACGTCTGTTAACTTTCAGTCATTTTCAACGCTTTCTTCGCCCTAACCCTGACATTAACCCTGAACCTAACAATTACGTGTGCATACCGAACCCTAACCTTAAGCTAAACTCAATTCGCACCTTAGTCTTAAATCTAACAGCTATCAAAAAAGGAAATGAGTGCCAGAAAAATGGCCTCAGTTTGATGGTGAAATCGGAAAAATGGCCCTCAGTATGAAGCCAACTCAGAAGCACACACACACACACACACCGGTGGAAATTTCAGTTGCTGCAAAGGAACACAGCTTTTACCTTAACAAAACGAGGTGAGACAACATATTTTGTTTATGGTTCTGGATATTTCATACACAACACTATTTATTGAATTTTGGTGAAATTTGATTTTAATGTGCACAACTACATATAATTCAAAGATGTATGAAAAACATAGAAAACCATCCAACAGATAAGCCACGTACAGATGACAAAAAGTCAATGGATCTTCTGAAAGGAATCAAGAAAAAAATGCAATATACAAAGTTTAGTTTCTTTATTTAAATTGTCATTACTGTAAGTCTAGGAACTGAAATGGCCATAAAAAGTTGATTTTGCCCCACATCAGCACATATCCTACACCATGCTTAACCTTTTAAGGGCTTTAGAAGCAATTTAGGACTACAATTATATAACTGGAGCAAATAAAGAAAATTGTCTACAATAATCAGGGACTCATGGTAGGTGTTTCTGCTTGTTTAAGTTTTACGAATTGAGTAAGAGACAAGGAAACAATGGCAAACAAACTATAGTGAACTGCTAAAATAACTAAGCTAGATCCACAGAAACGCGCATACACACAAGTCCAATTCCTGTTGGCATCATTGTCACTAAAAGGGTTCAAATGAGCTCTATTTATTTTTTATTCATCTAGGCAATCTCAGAAGAACTGCATATGTAAAATACAAACTAATGACTTCTTGGGGGAGTGTTGGCCTAGCGATTGCAAGGTTGCAAGTAACCAGTTCGATCCCCACAGCCGGCACTTTGGGTCCCTGAGCAAGACCCTTAACCCCACACCTGGGCGCCACACAATGGCAGCCCGATGCTTCCCAAGGGGATGGGTTAAATACAGAGAGCTCATTTCTCCATTGTGAAATCAATAAAGTTTAATTTTAATTTCAATTTTTTTCCAATTTAAAAATCCTTTTAAAAACCAATAAGAAGCTTATACTCTGTTTTTCTTTACTATACCTGCAGCAAAACTGGACTGAATCAGTTGATTCATGTTTTTCACAATAGGCCTAGTGAGGGGCAGATGGAGCTTTTTTTTTGGGACAATGTAGCCAAATGTTTTATTTTTCCACCTCATAAAAGGAGGTCTGGTCTAATAAAAATGCTGATATCTATTGTAGGGCTCCTGCATAGATCATAGCTTTTGTTATGATCTTCAGGCTGTTTACATTGAGCATTTCATAAACTGTGTTTTTAAGCAATTCTTCTAACCTCTGTTACACAGGCAAAATGAATCACCTGAAAACATTAAAAAATGATTAGCGGTAGAAATGTACCAAACTTAAGAGGAGCATGTGTGTGTTGTAAAGTATTTTTCAGAGAGACTTAGCAATGTTTGATAAAGCTTTAAATGGCATCTTGAGTGTTTGAACTGCTGTGACGACCTGTTTTAGAAATATTAAATCCTTCAAGTGATTTAGAAAAATAAAAAGATTTTTACAGATGGCAGAAAAGGGGCTAACAAGACGTGCATGGACAGGGCTAATGGGTTAAAAAGTGTTTTTCCCCCTGTATTTCTTCTATTCTGGCATCTAAATGCTGTCAAAACAATGTTATGGGGACTTTGTTATAATGACCCCCCTCACAGTTTAAACTTACACTAAATATTGTAGTCTATTTTCCATATATAAAGTTCAAAACATGTTCTTTAAAAAAGTTTTAATCTTTAGTGTTTTGTTTAGGGCCTAAATAACATGTCTACCTAATGTCTACTAAAACAAATTAGTGGCCACTGTGTTAGGTTTTAGGGGATTTCTTTTGCACTAAAATATAAAGTCATTTTAAAGTGAATGAGTTTTCCTTTTCTTTTTTTTCTTTTTTACAGTGACATAATGCTACTGCAGTAAAACTTAATAGTGTGTAAAAAAAAAAACATTTTCACCAGGAAAACAGATAGGCGTTAAGGTGAAATAATTACCACAAACCTTAGTTGAATGTTTAACTCAGTTCTACTGTGGATATAAAATGATCTGGCTTACCTTCTTTTTTTGTTTTTCCCCACTTCTCCCTGTGGTGTCTGGCTGTTCACCTCAGCAGGCGGTCCTTACAATCACCCTCCAAACTATAAATGGCTTGTTTACGTGCTTCTCTCAGCTTAATTTCTAATAGTTTCAGATTTTGTCCAATTTCATTTCCTTTTCTTCAATTTTCTTTGGACTGTGTGAGCTCAGTAGGACTGAATTTGATTGTGTTTAATATAAGAACGGTAATGATAAGTCCTCCTTAAATAATGGCAAGAAGTCAAACTTCAGGAAGCTTTTCATTTTTAAGTCGCCTGGTTTTATTGAATCAATTTATGCACAGACAGAATTTTATTTCAAAAATAGGAAAGAATCCATTCTGTACTTCTGGTAACTCACAACATTTTAACTTGCAGACTGTGTTTCAGGGGAAAAAAGCATAAAAGCTTCCACTTTGCACGTTTCAAAACAGAATTCAGGAATGTAGATGATCGCAGACCTAAAGCAGATGGATGCATCAATCTTTTTTCATTTCAGTGTGTCACTTCGCTCAGTTTGCCTTCCGCTCCCCGCTGAGCGTCTTACCTTCTGAGATCTCGTTGTTTTCTCGTGTTACATCACTTTTTTTCCCCCCAGTCTGAGCTGTTTCAGAGCCTGATCGCTGAGCTGGAAGGAAGAATACACAATGTCAAATCCTAAATCTATGTTAATGAATGGAAGGAGATCAGATAAAGTAGCAGATGAGACGAGAAAATGTCCTTGCCTAGATGCAAATGAATAAATTAAATCATATTTTACCGCTAAATAAATGTTGCAAAAAGCTCCAATATTCTTTCAAAACATCTACGACAGTTCAATATATGTACACAGAAAATGCTACACAGAAAAAAAGATAAAAGTGAAACATAATCAAATTGTAAATGCAGCACTAACCAGCAGCTCCTTGCCAAAGGAATTCATTGACCTTGAATAGTTTGAAATATTGTTACAAAACAACAACAAACTCCTGGCTCTTATGCTTTTTTTTCCAAGTTGGATCAACAAACAGTATTTGTATTGTAATTTGTGATCTTAAATGCAAACTATTCTATTCTTTAGAATTTTAACCTTATTCTGTGTAGTGCATTCCTTGGTTTACATGATACTACATGGTCACATGTTCTGTAAGGATATGTACTTTGAGAACTTCATTGAACAGCTGCATTTACACTGCTATTATGGGACGTACAAGACAATTTGTTATCTTATCAGTTTCTGTTGGAGGTATTTTCCTGTTAAAGAGGAGTTTTTCCTCTCCACTGTTGCCACAAGCATGCTTAGTATGGGGGATTGCTGAAGAGTCAATGAGTCGATGCAATCAACTGGCTTTCCTTAGATAGAAAACTTTGAATCTCAATTTATGATCTGGTTGAATTGGATGTTGTGAATTGGTGTTGTATAAATACTGAATTAAAATAAAAACTGAATTGAACTGAACATTGTAAATTTTTAAATACACAAAGTATTTGAAAAGCAAAGTCTGAGGTAAATACCACATTTTGTCCAAATTTTATTTTATTTTTTTAAACAAATGACATTAATTCTTTTTCTTCTACTTTATAATTCTGTGATGCACTTCATTGATCACCCTAAAATCTGAATTTATTATTTAAAAATTTGTAATCAAAATGTAAAAACTAAAAATTGAAGTCTAATTACAAACCCGGGAAACCACGCAACAATTAATAGATGATTGAGCTAAGATCCTTAAATGCATAGTCATGCAATGCTGTCTAAGTACTGTTGATGAGCATTCGATTAGCCTGATTGTAAATCAAAGCTGTATAGACAGCCCTTTGCACCTGTGCTTTTATGCATGCAGAAGACAGTTTAGAATCTCAGCATGTCCTGATTTCTGTTTTCTAGCACAGCAAGTAAATACCAGCAAATCTATGAATGTCAGCGTCAGAAACAAAGCAAACGTTTGGCTTGTTTCTGTGCATTTCTTACACCCTACAGTAATCTCAGGCATGCTGTTGTTATACCTCCACACCCTTAACCTGGCTAACATAGGAAATCAATACTCTACACATTTCCCTTCCACTTTGTACCAAGAAAATCCACAAATGCATTGCAAATCCATTCTGTTTACCCACTTGTAATTGAAATTTGAAGGTATAGATCCTTCACATGAAGCAGATAAAACAGTATAAAGAGATAGGAAATCCCTCCTAGCACTTTCAGACAAACTGGAATTACTCAATAATAAACATTTCTAAGACAAGCACAAGCCTAATTATGCAAATGAGTTTTCAGTTAAATAAGCAATGCTTAATGACCTCAGTGAGCTGTCACAGCATCCCAACAATAGAGCTGGCACCTGGGACAAAACAAAGGATTGCAATATTCCATCAAGACAATAAATCTGTGCATAGGGAGGGAAAGGATGTTAGCTGCTCACAGTAAGCTGTGTTTTAAATTTAGAGTCGGTCCAAACAAACTGTGAAGATCTTTAAAGGGGATGAGGAGATAATAAAGGAACATTTATAATTAGAATTGAAGAAAAAACACTCTAGAGTCATACTAACGCTTCATATCAGGTAAATTGCCTCAACGGGATTCATCAGTTAGAAGTTATGGTGACAACAAGATCATTATGACATGAGAGGTTAGGGTCACCCTTTATCCTGCAAAGTTGATCTATCAGCAACTCATAGGGAACGTATGAAAATCACTGATGAAAATGATTTGTGTTTATAATGGTGAAAAATAAGAGGTTTGGGGAAAAAAAAGATAACAAAAATAGTTTTTTATTCTGGTTCATAGCTTTAATTGACCCAATCTTAAGCAAAATGCCATTTATGACAAGAATTTACCACGTTATTTTATTGAAATGTTCAGTTGTACACGCAAACACACACAGTCACCAATAACCATATTAGGTACCTGTCCAACTGCTCGTTAAGGCAAATTTTGGTCAGCCCATCAAATGGCAACAACTAAATTAATTTACAAATATACAGTAGACATCTATATATGTATATATTTTTGTAAATTTATATATTGTATGTTTATAAACACATTGCAGAGACAATCAATTTTGCTCATATTGCATTTAACAACAGTAAGTGGCTAAATTTATCCCTCCAATCCTTTTGTTGGTGGTAATATGCTTAAAGTGCGTTCGCCACAAAGAATGGAAGAGAGATGTGCAGCTAGTATGCAAATTCATGCAGGCGAGGAGAATTTTGACAAAAGATTAAGTAAAGTTCTGTAACAATGGACTCTGGATAAGCAAGCTTTCCAGGTCATGAATAAAACCTTAACCCTGTAGTAAAACATTTACACGAGTTTGGTTAGTGCAAAGGAGAATCCAAATAAAATTGCAATTGCAATATTGGTTTAAAATAAACGCAATTTTTTATTTTTGCATTTTTGCCAAATCATTCAGCCCTAAATGCAGATATTTTGGCTGTTTTTTGTGTGCATGGAGGATATCCTGAGGCAGATTTAGAGTTATCCTACAGTAAGTTTTATTACCTCCTTTATGATCTTGAAATTAAAGAGTCTGGTTGGGGACGTTATCATTACCATCCAATATCAGGAAAGTAGGAGAGGGTAACAAGGAATTAATGGTTTGTTCATTTCGACTCCTCTCAAAATGTATTCTATCCATCTTGTGAATTATTTGCTCACAAACGATAAAGTATGACATTAAAGAAATTCAAACTGAGTATTTTAAAGTGTTTTAGACACTTGAGAGAGAGAAAAAAAAGTGGCGAGTGGTGACTTGCTGTGCAGCTTAAACTAAGAAAACAAAGACTGTTCAACATCTCTCCCAGAGGAGGGAAATCTCTAACTTGAAACAGAACTAAGCAAAGAAATAACTGTGTTGTATTATGATGACAAGCTCCCACTGTGTGCTCCTGTCTTATTTCCTACAGTTTCAAACTGTTACGCTTACAGCTTTTGTAGCCCCGCCCTAATCAGTCAGCAGCTATTCTCCTAATAACAGCTGATGGAGAACTACTGCTGTGACTAGGGCTGCAACTAACGATTATTTTGTTAATCGATCCATTATTTTTTGATTAGTAGACTACTAATCAAATAGCAAGAGGTTACTTAGATAATGTTTTTACAGATTTTAAACCAAGTGAAACTAAAACTTTTCCTCTGAGAACTTCTAGATAAAGCATATTGACAAGAGGAGATGCGTTTTTTTTTTTTCCTCAGTCTTGACGATTATTCTATTAATATATTGTTTCAGCTTTAGCTGGGACTACTGATTGGAGCTTCGCTGAGTCACATCAGGTGAAGTTGACTATTTTCACTCTTATACCAAGCCTTTACTCTTGACCATTCTTTCCTTAAACTTTCCATCCAGAAACAAAAGCCATATCAAGTGACCTTACATTTTAGAAGCTGTCAGCCTCTGTCAACATCGGCCCTAATGGATGTTTGTTAAAGTCTCTTACCTTTAATGTTTCCTTGTAGAGCTTTACTCTCCTTCCCCTTGTTAACAGCGACGATCTTAAAGTTGTACTCCTTTGAGGAGTCAAAATCTCTGATGACAAGCTTTGTCTCCTGCTTTGCTAATTCCAACACCTTCTGTTGATCACCTGTTCCAGAGAGAGAAATACAAAACAGGGGGAAAAAATTAATGACCAGGAATCAAGGCAACATACATCTATCATGAGACTCATTTAAATGAAACATACAGAGCTTATGGTCGCAATATGACCAAGCTTTAAATACATTATAATTTATATGATGTTTTTAAAAGGAAATACAATCAATTCCAGCTCAGTAGAAATTGAATCCAGTTTTTCTTTGAATTGCTTAGTTCTGAATTATGCTGTAATATTACAGTTTTCACCAGAGAGCACATGAGAGAAACTACAGATCAAATTTGTCTCCAAAAGTACTACCTGAAGAATAATCTAAACAGGAAGAGCCAAATAATAACCATTACAAAATGTTATTATAGCTTTTATTATGCCTGAATATTTCTCAGTGATTATTCCTTTTATATTTAACAACATATACGTATGTTTTATAAACAATTTTCCTTGAGAATACTTGCTTATCTCCTTGTTACGAAGGCAAAAAAAAAAAAAGACAGAAAGATAGATAGAAAAATTCAAAATGACAGAACACCTCTGATCCTGAAGGAACATGTTCACTCATGTCTAAAGACACCAGTTTTGAGTGAGTAAATGGCAAGGTAATATCAGGGGTCCATTTCATGAGGCAGGTTTAACAAACTCTGATTCAAATCTGCAACTCTAAATTGATCTGGCCTAATGTAATGAGTTTCTGGTTTCACAACGGGTGCTATGAATTAGTTCAACCAACTCCAAGTTGGGGAGTGGCAGCCTCGTGGTTAGCCCCACTCCCACGGACTGCCACTCTGGGTCCCTGAGCAACATCCTTAAAGCCCGGCGTACACTGTGCGATTTTCGGGGCGATTTTCCAGTCATGAAAGAATATTTCGATCGGCCCGACTTTCAGCCTGAACGTGGGTCGTGAGTTGTGTAGTGTACAAGGGGTTACCTGCGGCGATCAGCCTCTCACAACCAACTCCTGATCAGGAATCCGGAGGTCAGGAGAATATCAAACATGTTTGATTTTCTCCCGACTGTCGAGGGCAAATGGCTCAGGGCGCATGCGCAAACAAGGATTTTTCTTTTTATTCCTCCTCTCAGGTGTAAACACAGCAGCATGGCAGGGATGCAATGAGTTAAATGCAGTTCTGTATGTAAAATTGACGATAATTTTATGGAGAAAACTAGTTTATTGCTTGAATGGTAGTGGATCAATGTATTCTACTTAGGTGAGATCATCTGTCAGAAGGTGAAGAGAAAAAACGTTCTAAAGGGTAGGACCTGTTCATCATCTCATGGGATTCCTCCCCAGTTTGATTCTTTCTTCTGTTACACAGTAAATTCTAAGTGGCTGTTTGCAGCTGCTTGGGATGTTATAATCCCAATAAATGGCAATTATTAACAGTTATCAGCCCCATAGAATGGCTTCCCATTGTGATCACTAGTTAACAGTAGGCTCTATAGGTTGTTATCACTGAAATAATCCTAATTATCTTTGTCTAACAGATAAACTTTTATTTTTATGATGTTCCGAAAGGATAAATAATTTCCTATTCTAATTATGCAAGGTTTCTGTTGGACTAACATAAAAAAAACTCAAGATAGAACATCAAATGTAGTATGAATATGCATATTGTTGCCAATTATTTTCATCTTTATTCTCTGTCCTGTTTTTTAAAACTTTATTTAAAATGATTTCTTTCTTCCTTCCTAGCAAAAGTTTTACTGGCATAAACATAAATATTAGCTTAAAAAAAACAGAAAACAATAAAAAAATATTCATGAGGACCCCTTGACATCTCTACCTGTTCAGAATGCATTCACAATCAAAATTTGACCCACTCATCCGAGAACATGGCACATCCTGAATTCCAAACCTTGGTTTAGAGCAGTGAAACGAAAGGATGAAAGATATCCAAATTAATGTATGAAAATGCAAATGAGGGTGATGGCATTGAATGGTAATTTAAATCTTTTCTTCAAAAAGAAAATTATCCATATTTGATATCTTTGGTGTACACAACTTTCATTTAAACCCTTTGAGCTCGCAATTGCATCATTCATTGTTCCCGCTTTTCATTAAAATGACAGAAGATCAAATGAACAACACGCTTCTGCTTTAACTGTCTTCGCAAACTGTTTTGTGTATCGACACCTTGTAATATTTGAGATAAATTACCAAGATGAAACAGACTTTGCCGTCTCTCTTTCTGCTTCCATCCTACATCTCCTTGTTATTAAAATATCAGTTTCAGAATAAATTACTGTCTTCTGTTGCTGTTAATGTGACCACAACTTCACAGAGTTCACAGAATTTCAGTAATATCTGTGTAATTATGTAGATACAAAATCAGAACAGACACCCATAGCACCTGCTTTTTCTAACATAAAGATCTGAAAAAAATGAAAAAACAACTTGGATAGAAAAATCGTATGCCTCAAAGAGCAATTAAACTAAAGAGCAAATTCATTACATCCTACTGAACAGGGCTTCTTTGTGTCATGTATGCTTGTACTAAATGGATATAAATCAGTCTTTGACACATCTGCACAGAGATATCAAGTCATGTCAGTGAAAGTGAGTAGATCATAACAATCCGTCTAAATAAAAATGAGTCGGCTGGGAGTAGATGGATTGTCAATTAAAGTAGAAAAAAACAGGTTAAAAAAACAACAACAAAACATCAAGATGTCCCTTTTAAGGATGCGGGGAAAACATTCTAATTTGTTCGACATCTCTTTAAAACAGAAGTGTCCAAACATTTTACTGGAAGGGATTTTCCATTTTATTTCTAATTAAAATCAAAGCTATTTTACATTTTTAGCTGCTTTAACAATAAAGTAAGGATGTAGAATTTTAATTAAATAAATTCAGCAGTATGAACGTCTTACAGAAAGAGGACCGTAGATTCCTGTAGAAATACAAAAATAAGGAAGAGACTAGTTTCTCTTATGAAAGGGAATAAATTCCGTGCCATTTACACTTTCTATCCTAACCCCATCCTAACCCATTTTTGGCAAGATCGTTCAATATTCCTTTTAGGGACAAGCACCGGATTTTCAAAAAAATTTTTTAAGAGTGAATTTAACCCAGGATCTTTGAAATTAGGTGATGTTACTCATCAATACAAGGTGTGACCAGGATTTATACAGGAGTTATCTTTATCCTAAACTTCTGTTATTTTATGTATTAACTAATAGGCTGTTTCTTAATCCAAATCCCTACCATGCTTTGTTACAACAAAACAGAAGAAAAAAAAAGCAATCAAATTTATCAGGACTTCTGGCTTATTGAAATAGAGTTATTTATTTATTTATTTA